GGGTGGGGGTGAGGGTGTGGGTGTGGGTGGGGTTGAGGGTGTGGGTGAGGGTTTGGGTGTAGGTGAGGGTGTGGGTGTGGATTAAGATGAGGCTGAGGTTCAAAAGACAAGGTTACTCTTTGATAAACAGATTCTTACTGGAGAGCAGGGTGGGCTGGGGCTGAAATATGTTCAGCCCAACCCCCACTGCCCTACTCGGCCCCCAACAATCACCTGGCCCACACCTGCTCTTCAAACCTGAGCGGGGTGCACAAACCCCTCCCTCAGCGGGAATTCTGCCCACAGTGCCCATGGAGGGGTTTCCCCGACACCCACCGCTGCCCCTCTAGGTTCCTCCTTGGCTCTGGGGGTGCAGGGGAGCAACAGGAGGAAGAAGAATCTTGCTCTGAGGATAACCTTCCCAAATCCCACACTATCTTCTCCCCACAACCTACAAGCCGATCAGAGCTGCTTCGGGGGGGCCAGGTGTCCACATCTTTCTCTTGGCGCCAAAGCAGGTTTCCAACAACAACCTTTCAGTCTGCAGCTAAGTGTTTTAAGCACCATGCCACCACCCTCCTTTTCATCTTTATTTTAAACAAACAAACCAAAACACCCAAAACCCCATACTTTGGTCCCTATTTTGACTCACAATGGCCTTGTGTTTGGTTTCTAAGGCTGCAAATCTTCACAAGAGGAAACTGCCCATTTTTCTCCCTCAGGGCAGCTGGTGGATTTGAACATTCGACCTTTAAGGTAGCAGCCTTTTCCACAGGACTCCTTTCTCTCTCTCCAATTAAAAACAATTAAAACATTTAAAATTCCTTCTCATCGTAGTCAGGTAGGAACCGGACAGATTTCAGAAGCTGTAACCCACAGGAGAGTAGACCGCCCATCCTTCTCCCACGAAGCAGCTGGTGGATTCGAACCACCAGAGGTGCATCACCTCTGGAACAGCCACCAGAGTTGTCTTTTCCTCCCTAATGTGTTTGTTACGTGCCACCAAGCTGGAGCCAACGCAAAGCTGACCCTCCAGAGGGTTTTCAGAGACTGTGGGAGGAGATTGCCCGTATTTCTCCTATGCAGGAGCTGGTGGATTCGAACCAGTTGCCTCAGGGTTGGCAGCACAGCTCCTTATCACTAAGCCACCATTCAGAGGGTCCTCTGAATTCTGACTTTGCCAGCCAAGCCTTGAAGCGACTTAGAGCCAAAGACTGCAAATGCTATTCTTGACTTTCTGAGGGACTTTTTGGTTGGGTTTGTTTGTTTGTTTCTTAAACATGCAGTTGCATCTCAATTTTCTGGCCCAAAGACCCCTCTGTCCAGCCCAGCCACGTAGATTCCGGGCCACCAGGCCGGTGAGATCCCTTTGGCTGCACGCGACAACCACTTGGCCTTGTGACTAAGATCATCTCTCTTTATTGCTCCTTTTTCATGGTTAGTTTTAAGCTGTCTCACTAGAAGCTGCGTTCAAAGTTGGGGTTTTCCGTCTGGGGCCGTGAAGATGGGCAATCCCACTTGCTCCGCATTTACCAGAGAGAAAATTGCATCGTTTAAACTATTTCAGGACAGACGTCTCCTGGTCACGTGGAAGAAAGGAAAAACCCCCTCTGCTCTGCGATCAGAAGGATCGAGGACATAGACGGAAAACAAATGAGTTTAGAGAAATGACAAACAGCGGAGGCTGGCGAACATGCATTAGGTGCAAAGGAGGACCGGGCATGAATTTTTGTTCTTTTAAATTGTGACCAGTCCCATCCAGGGTAAGAGGAGTAGAAATACTCTCCTCCTCCTCGCCCTCCCCCGGAAAGGGTCCTGATTCACACCTCTCCCTTCTCTGCTCAGGAGACAAGGAGAAGAAAGGCTTGTCCCTGGGATGCACTTGATTCGCTTCTTTGTCCTGAAAATTGTTTCCAAATGAATCAGCTTTCTCTACAGATGCCAGCCAGAGGCCCAGGGATAGGTGAGTCTTGGCTGTTCTGTCCTTGGGGTTCACAGAGTCTCCCCAAAGGCAGGTATGTACTGCATCCTTTCCGGAAGGGCTGCCCCCTACCTGGGAGTCGGGGAGGACCCTGGAGCTCCAGGTACAGGGCCCAGCATTGCACCAGCTTGCTGTCTGACCTTGGGCCAACTTCCTAACCTCCCTGAGCCTTGGTCTGCTCATCTGGAAGATGGGTTTATAACTGTTAACACACCTCCCCGAGCAGCTGTGCCAGGTCCTTGAAGGCACGGATGGGCATGCTTGGCACAGGGCCTGGCAGGCGCTAAGGGCCTAGCTAACAGAGCTACTATTACAATCACAACCGAGCTCAATTTATGCCTACTTGTCAGTTAAGGGGCCTCTCCCGAGTTCAGGGGGGTGCAGGGTGAGCCCACGGAGGCGCTGGGGCACCCCTAGATGGTTCTCAGAGGCAAAGCTGA